GATTTCACCTTCATGTTCACTTTCTCCTCCTTCTGCTTCGATTTCACCTTCATGTTCACTTTCTCCTCCTTCTGCTTCGATTTCACCTTCATGTTTACCTCCTTCTCCTTCTGCTTCAATTTCACCTTCACCTTCCAGTTGAGTTTCACCTCCACCTTGTTGTCCGTTTTCACCTCTATCAGGAGTTTCAGCCTCTTCACCTATCACTTCACCCGTGCTCTCAGCTCCAGCCACATCTCCTTCCTGCAATCCAAAGGCAACAGATAGTGTGTAATAACTGCTCTGCTTGTTTTCCTTCCCAGTTCTTCCCCATTTTTGTTGTTGTTATTCTCAGAATGGATCTAAAAACTTGAATATGAGGAGAAAACTAGTACGGTCATTCAGCAAAATTCCCTTCCCAACATTCCCACCTGGTGGTTGTCCTGTCTTTATTCGATCATTTTCAGGGATGGAAAACTCACCACCTCAGGTGGCTTCTGCATCTTGACAACTCTGATTAAAGTCCAGATTTATAACAAGGTTCTACCCTGTGGTTGGCTCTTTGGAGCCACACAGAACAAAGCTAATCACTCTTCTACAAAACAGCTTTTTTCCCTGAGTTAGAGATTCCCAGGTCCTTCCATCTTTCCATGCTATGGCCTGGAGCCTCCTCCCCATGTTGGTGAACTCACTCTAGTTAAGTTTATACCCCATGAGGAAGCTTCAAAAACTGAACACAGAACACCACACAGAGTGGAATAGGACTATCACCTCCCTTTCTTAGATACCTGCTTCCATTAATGTTGCCTAATATGGCACATCTTTTGGTGGCTACATTGCTGCGTCTACTAAAACTCCTAAATTATCATATTACCTTATATGTATAAAATGATGATGATAATACCTACTTTCTGGGGGTTTCTATGTGCCAGGCACTATGCTAAGTGGCTTAAATAATAGTAGCACTTAGTGTGTTTCATGAGTCAATTAATTTATGATGTAGACAGAATTAAGGCCATCTAACAGATGGAGAAACTAGGGTACAGAGTAGTTAAATAACCTGCCCATTGTTCACACAGTTAGTAAGCGATAAAGTTGGGCTTTGTAATATGGATAGTCCAACTCTCAGCCTCTTAACCACCAACCTACCCTGCTTTGCAATTGCCAAGACTGAATGAGATCTTTGGTTCTCAAAACTGGGTAGCTTGGGGAGCTTAGTAGAAATACAATTTGCAAAATAAATTAATAAAATCAAAGAAATACAGATGTCTGAGCCCCACCTGGACCAACTGAATTAGAATCTCTGTGATGAGAAGCCAGGAATCTATTCTAACGTACTCACAAGGGCTCCTAATACATCTGCTTGCAGACCAGTGTTTGGGCACCAGGGACGGACTCCATATGTAATCTAAAAGCCACTGATTGTGAGTGTCCACAGATTAGGCACCCAACTATCCTATAACAACATGCCTGGCCAGTCCCTTGAGCAAATGACCTGGGCTGTGTGCCCATGGAGTATGTCCCCATCTGTAACAAATTTCATGACACAGGCAACCTCCAAGGGGTGCTCAGTGAGTCTCAACTCCGCTGCATATTAAAATCACCTGGAGGCTTTAAAAACATTCATGCCCAAGGATCCACCCCAGATATTCTAACTTAATTGGTTGAGGGTGAGGTCTGGGCATTGATTAAAGTTCCTCAAATTATTCTAATATGCAACCCGAGTTGTAAACCCCTGATGTAGTAGTCAATAATTAATATTCATGAGGCCTGTACTTTGAATTGGAAAAATGAGCAGATTTTAGTCTGAAATAATTCCTGCCCTCCCTCCCCCAACCCCATCAGGAGAGAAGGCTTCCTGGAGGAGATGACAAGTCATTTAAATCCATAGGTATGGGAGTGTCCGCCCAGCCTGCACCCTTTTCTCTGAGAACTGTCATACCTAACACCCTCTGAACGGGTGGCTCTTTTTTTTCCGTGTTGGAGTCAAAGCACCCCACCACTTCCTGCCACAGCTGATTGGACACAGGCTGGATCCCTGACCTGGGACCTAGTTTGAAGAGATTCTCTCTCTCCTGAGACTGGGAGCCAGTCATTGGTTGATCCCCCTGTGGACTGAAGGCCCCTTGTCAGGGTTTAGGGCTGTGTGTGCCCATAAGAAAGCAAAGGAAGCCAGGCTGCCAGACGAAGCTGAGTGATAAAGCCTGCACACAGAGAAAGGGACCTAAGGGAGAGCAAGACAGAGAGTGAGAAGCCACTAGGGTCACAGATGTCTGCTCAGGCCTAAGTGCAGTTCTTTGTGAGACTGATCTTGCCCTGGGATTCCAGGAGGTACCTCTGTACCCTCTTAGTCCCTTTCACTTGAGCTGGCTGTAATGGGGCTACTCAGGACATTCATGACACCATCAAGATGTCTTAGACACTAAACCCAAAGTTGCTGGCTTAAGGATGAGATATAATTGTGTCAAACAGAAAAAAAAACAGGAATGAAACTTGTAAACTAAATGCTTCTTTACTGTCATTACTCAACCCTTACTGAGCACAGTTGTGCATGCAGGCATTGCATCTCTGTGGGAGAGACAGACAGCTCAGACGTGCGTCCTGCCCTCAGGAACCTCACCACCCAGTAGGAGAACAAGAGAGACTCCTAAATAGAGCATGGGGAAGGCAGTGATAGGAGCCCTGAGACAGGGACCAAGTACAATGGGCATTCATTCATTCGAGGGGGGTGGGGGGATCAGGGAAGCTTGACGGCCACAGGGGCATGAAGAGTGGCCTGGAGAGGTGGGTGAGAGGGACATGAAGGCAGAGGGGAAAGGGTATCCTGAAGGGGAGGAAACCAAGGCCTGGAGGTAGAAAAACATAGAGACAAGGAGCCCAGTTTGGCTGGAGCGTGGTGGAAGAAGAGGCTGTGTGGCCGTTAAGACAGCGGCGGCAGGACTCTGGAAGCCCTGTAGACAAACCTCAGGGGTTCCAAGGCATGGATCCAGCAACCCTCCCCGCTGCATGTCTTATTGCCCCCTAGTTTCTGACAGACCCCCCACCGACAGTTACTCCTTTAAAAAAAAAAAAAGATTTTATTTATGTGTTTGAGAGAGAGAGAGAGAGCACATGAGGGGGTGAGGGTCAGAGGGAGAAGCAGACTCCCCGCCGAGCAGGGAGCCCGATGCGGGACTTGACCCCAGGACTCCAGGATCATGACGCTTAACGACTGAGCCACCCAGGCGCCCCCGGACAGTTACTCCTTATGTTTTTACAGCATGTGACAGTTGACAACACAGTCTCGTATATAGTATGTCACTCATACTGAGGTGTTAATGTGAATTAACTGGCCCCATGAGGTACGTGATCTTCACAGAAAGGGCCATGCTTACCTCAGAGGAATGAACCTCAAACAGCATTTCAGACTCTCAAGAAGGAAGGATTTGGGGCCAGCAAGTCCTTCCCTGGGCCTCTTAAATTTCCCCACCTAGGAAGAGGCTGGTGCCTACCTGACGGCCGGGATCCTCCTCCTCCTGATCCCCCTTGACATCTGGAGTGGGGGCTGGTGGGACTGTGACCGCAGGAAGCTGGGCTGGCTCCTCCTCTTTAAAGGATAAACACGGAATAGGTCAGAAAAGTATGCCCGGTTCCGAGGGCGGCTGCCAGAGGCTAGTGTGAGGGGCTCTGGGGCTATTGCCCTTGTCCACCTCAGCTTCTCAGAAAGTTTGGGGAATTTCTTGTCGAAAGGAAAAGTAACGTGTTGTGATATGAGCTGTTATTGCCCCGTCCACAGAGACAGCTGCGGATAAGAGCACAACTGGGAGTGGCCATCCTTGCTCCCCCTCTACTCACAAGCGTTTCATCCTATGAGCAGCTTGGGCAACAGAGACCAGAAAGACAGCAAAGCCCCCGCCCTCAAGGTCTGACCCTTCCCCCCACCACCTACACGGAAAGGGTCCTGGTGACTTCAGAGGCAGCAGCTTGGACGCCTTGAAACAGTATTGCAGGGAAGGGAGACTCGGAAAGCCCGGAACGCCGGGTTTAGGAAGAGGCCCTCTCACTTCTTGGCTCTGCGGCCTTAGGTAAGTCACTCGACCTCTCAGCTGGGGTTTCCTTGTCTGTAGAATGGGGAGAATGGCTACCGCTCTCCCTGCCCCCAAGGGATGCTGAGTGCGTTAGGCAGGCCGGTGTGCTGTGCAGCCCCCACAGGCCAGTAGCTCTCTCACTCCCTCCACCCCAGCTGCCCCAGGGATGCTGCTCTTCTGTATCACTGGACCCCTGGTGTCCTTCCCTCCTGGGGTTGCTGGTCTCAGACCAACCCCTAACAGCACTGTCCTTGTGTAGAAGTGACAGGAAGAAGAAATAGAGGCCAATAGAGTCTCCTCCGGGACGAGATGTAGTGAAAAAGAAGTGGGACTTCAAGCACACACACACACACACACACACACTGGGATGGCCGGCCTGCCCCATCAGAGCAGAGCGTGCAGGGAGCTGTCCAGGGCCTCCCTCAGGCCAGCAACCCCGGCAAAAAGGGAGGACACTGGAAGGAGGAGGCCGGCATGCGGCACCAGATCATCGCCCCAGCTCACTGGCTCCGAGAGGCCAGGAAACAGGCCTCAGCCCCTGGCCAACAGGAGGGAGGAAGGTGGCAGGAGGAAACCCAGCGGTCTCGTCGTCTTCTCACCTTCTGGTTTGTTCTCTGCGTTAGCGTGAGGCTTGGCTTTGGCCTCCTGACTCAAGCTCTCCGTGTCTTTGGAGGGGCGGGCTGCAAATGAGAAAGGGAACACATCTTACCCGGGACCCTGCAGTTAGGCTGGTCAGCACAGCAGCCGGGACAGCTGAAGTGGGTGGGAGGAGGCCGGCCTGGGCGTTGTGGTCTGGATGCTGGTCCTACTAGGCTTGTTCATGCTGCCCATTTCCCAAACTTTCACCTTAAATCCCCTGCATCATTACTAACTGGTTGTGACCTTAGGCAAGTCACTTCCTCTCTCTAAACCTATGTCCTTTCTGGTAAAATGACATGGTTGGACTCGGAGGCAACAAATAGGATTTATTTCCTTCATGAGTTCAAGTGATGGCTATTGGAGCACTAGATTGAGGAGGATTCTGACCCAAGGTTGGTAGGAGGAGGTGCCATGACTGATCAGTGATGTCTGCATTGAGCGGGGAATGGACAAAAAATGGCAGGGAGATATTTTTGCCATCCGTGAACTAGATTATCTGTTTGGTCCTTAGCAGCTCACTTTCTGTGAATCTACCAGAAGCTCTGCTGTATAGCTCCAGGAGCACTACCCGTGGCTGTGTTCGTGAGACCTCCTTCTCTGGCCAGAAAGGGGAAATAGCTGACCACCAAGCTCCCTGCCCCACCTTTTCTGACCCCAGGTACCTGGAGCCCAAGCAGGTACACAAAGTGTACACACTTTGCCAGAAGCCTACAGAGCACCGTGTACACAACAGAGCTGCTCTGACAGTGAAGCAAGAAAAATGAGGAGGGCAATCTCTTTCAAAACGTGCTTTAAGTGGTAATTCAAGGTGGAGGCACAGAGACTGAGGTGCAGGGGCTCATCAGGGTCCTCCTCAAGGCCATGTGGCCCCGGAGGGTGAGGACAATGGCACAAATGACAAAACAACGTGGGCCGTGTGGAATGTATTCTGGAGCCCAGGCTGGCTCTCCCCTGTGAGCACTGGGTGACCTTGGGAAGCCTGCATACCCTCTCTAAGTCTTCGTGTCCCCCTCTAAAAAGGCAACGTTGTGATACACACAGAGCACTGATGTGGGGGTCCATGAGACAAAATAAATAAGAATGCTTTAACTGGTACAATTAAGTCTTGCTAGGTTAGCTGGGATTCTGGAGCCAGAATAGTGGGTTTGAATCCTAGTGCTGCCACTTGCTAGCCAAGGACCTAGCCCACTGATTCCTTAACCTCTCTGTACCTCAGATTCTTTATCTGTAAAATCTTACAGGGTTGTTAAAGGAATAAATAAATTTATCCGTGAATGTGCTTAAAACAGGGCCTGGCACCTAGAAAGCACTACACAAGCATTCGCTACAATGAGGGTGAAGTGAGCGGCTGAGAGCAGCTGTCCCACCCAGGAAGCAACTCTGAAGGGGCCCAGCACTCCAGAGGGTTCGAGTTAAAAGGGACCCTGGAGATCCTCTGGTTTCTGACACAGACAGACTGAGAAGGTGCAATGCGGAAAACTGCAGGGACCAAACGCTGCCTGGGTCCAGGATGGGCAAGAAATATAAACAGGTCTGGAATTTCCTCCTTTCGGCCTGTCTCCTAAACTCTCAGAGTTGGTTCAGCTGCAGCCGCTTCTGGCAAGAGGCTCCATCCTGCAGAGCCACCCCTCGGGCACGTGAGGCCCTTCGAAGTGTCCCAGTGGGCCAGCCCCACAGGTCCGAGTCAGGGCCCAGAGCCGAGAGGTCCAGAAGCGGGCCCTCCACTGCCTCCTTCATCCACACAACTTTAGTGCCCCCTTGGCACGGATGGAGCATTGCAGTCCTCTGTGGAGCAACACAGAGTTGCTGTTATCACAGGAGAGTTCCGCGGCTTCCAGGGCTGGCACTGAGACCATCGGCTGACTGTGGGTCGGAGGGGCTGGCAAGGAAAACCAAGTCCCCCTGTTTCCTTCGGACCCCTCCTCGCACACCCTAACTTCTCATTTCCCACACCACTGAGGAAAGCAGGTCAGCTGCAGGGCCTCTTTCTGGCCCCCTCTCCTCTCTCTCATGCATACACACACATCCAAGTGAAATCACCATAAAAGGCATAGGGTCCTGGAGAAAAGCCCTTTCACAGGGCAGGGGCGAGTTCAGACCACACATAGGCTCTGTGAAAAGAGCCAGAACACCTGGAAAGGGTGGAAACATCTGGAGAACCATTTGGAACCAGCAGATGGAAACACAAACGTGTGTCTGGAAAGTCTTGGGAACAAAGGCCTTTGTCACTGCTCAGCAAGGTCCCAGTGCCTCCTGGATGGGGCCTCGGGGCGTAGAATCAGAGTTGGCCTCTCTGAGCAGGACTTCATCTCAGAGCCCAGAGCGTATCAGCAGGCACCGGCCACAGGGTCCTTTCTATGGCTGCCAAATGTGCCCACGATGTACGAAGCCCGCTTGTCCTCCTGGGACTGTGACTGTCGCTGACTCACCCAGCGCTCATTTCCTCACATGGCCTCTCTACTCTCAGCGCAGCTGGATCATCTCCTACTTAGTATCAATCTCCTCTGACCTGGGCCTGGCCCGGCCATCACATAATCCTGTTAGGACAAGTAGGTCAGCTGCTGGTCACAGAAGTGGCCCAGGCAGGGGGGCCTGTGGTCCCATTCAGGGGAAGATCTTTATCTTCTGGACTTTGCCAACCCAGGGACGGAATTTCCTTCAATGCCCCAGGCCAGGCATGCCCCCAGCACCGATCACCCACAGGCTGCCGGGTGCTGCAAACTCCATTCTCAAAACTCTAGGGGCACCGATACTTGGGGGTGGCCTCTCTCAATGTCTGCCGAGGTTCAACTGAGGATTTTCGGAGGAAGACTTGATCATCTCGTCTTTGTCTCTGCTTTTCCCAGTCCAATACCCTTTTAAATACCCAACAACCCAATACTGTATCTGCAGGGCCTGAGGAAATTTCTGAGCCCCCCCCACCCCAAGATTTGTCCCTGAACCAGAAAGGTAAGTCCAGGTGCTTCCTGATGCTCACGAGTCAGTCTCTGGTGTCATATTCAGCTCAGCCCTCTGGGGAAGGGGGCCAGAAGGCAGGACTTGGTAAGACGGATGGTGAGACGCTCAGCTACTCCCATCACTTGTCAAGTTAGACATCAGGCCCCACTTTACTTTGGCCCCCTACCAACCCAGAAGTGGTCCTGGCAGCTCCTTTGGGGTTCCTGGCTGGAGAGGGGTTTAGCAGTTTTCGTAGGACTCCAGAGCTCAACACAGAGCACAGGGAGGTACCGCTCAGAGCTTCTGGGCTGTGGGGCCCTATAGGAGGTACCCCCAGCAGTGGCCCTGGCCAGTCAGCCTGCACCAAACCGCCTGGCTGGAGATGCTGTGGGATACTGGAGCCAACTTGTGGGTGATGGGTTTCGTAGGGAAGTCACTGAGGGCAACCCCAACATAGACCAGAGCAGGGCACACGGCACTCACGGCCTTGCTAACTACAGGTGAACTCTTTTTACAGGAGGGGACCCGGAGACAAGGAAGTCATGGGATGTGAATACCTAAGGACCTTAGCTCCTGTTGAGTCCTGTGTCTTCTCTCTGCCCTGTCTCCGAGACTCGACCTCACACCCCAACTCTCCTCTGCTCTCGATTCCCCACTCTGCCATCGTCCTCCCCACTGCCTCCTCGTTTTGCAGGCCCCTGTTTTTGTCCAGCTGCAGGAGGGAAGGAGTAGACAGGAGACCACGCAGGTCTGGGGAGGCCTTGCTTACCTTCTCTCAGAGGGTCCAGGCTGTGGATCATGAGCTGGTAGATGGTGCCGCGGATGATGCTGTTGTGCAGAGAGGCCGGGCTGCTCGCTCGGGTCAGCATTGCGGGGAGCACTGCTGGGAGCTGAGCAGGGGAGAGCCACACAGGCCTCAGTGGGCCCCTGCCCAAGCCAGGGGAAGAGCCACATGAGGGCCTCACTAACCCTGCTCCCCTCCCTTGGAAGTCAGAACAAAGCACAGGAGCCTCATCCTGGCCTCCCCTCTCCCTTCACCTCCATCAGGAGTGTTACACTGCTTTCTTTCTCAGCCTCCCCCTACTCTTCCATGACTGGCTAATTCTACATGCGGAATAATCCCCCCAAGGTCTCAACAGGGAGCAGACAATGTGTACGAAGCATGACACATTACCTAGGGTTTGTCCTTCCCTGAAAATACACTCTCACAGAAACACACACTCACCCACACACCACACACACAGACCCACTGTGCATGGGTACACTTAACGGTCCACAAAGCAACATCATGCTTTATCATTGCCCCAGCCCTGGATAAGCAAGGCTGTGATCCCCTTCTACAGAAAAGGAAATGAAAACTGAACGAGACTAGGTACCTTATCCAAGGTAAATGAAAGACTCAAAACTAGCACTCAGGACTTTGGATTCCCAGTTCCCTTCCTTTTTTTCCTACCCACAGATGCTTCAAGAGACCTTCATAGGCACACACATACTCACATCTATATGTGCAGATACCCAGATGTGGCACACATAGAAATTATCATCTGATTTACAAAGGAACATCCAAGACAGACCAACACTTGCTCAGTCCCTCCCTCCCTCCCCCAACCCCCATCCCCCATCCCTCTGGAGCTGAACTCTTCTGCCATCTATTGGCTGTGGTAACACAGTACTTCACAACAGGCCTAGGGGTTTTCTTTGGATGAGGAAGATGTCATTCAGGCCCCAGCCTCTCCTAAGGTTCCCATAGTTCTTCCCAAATATCCCACCGGCAAAAGGCAGCTAAGATACAGTTTTTCAGAAACCTCAGTCCCCCCTACTCCCAGTGCCCCTGCTATGCTTCTCTTATTTCTGGAGCATTCCAATGCCACAGGTAATTAGGCTTTTAGATCAATTCTAAAAGTCGAGGCTTGAATTCGGCTACTCCACAGTCATTTTACAGATGCAAATCTCACATAGCAAGTTAGTGGCAGAGCAAGCAGTGGCATCCTGGAGTTAGCTCCCAAAGAAGCACCTCTTCCTAGGCCACCTTGGAGGTGACAGTCCCTCTGGCAAAGGAGCTGGCTCCTTCACTGGCTCATCCTGGGAGTACTCCCAGGAGCTTCCCAAGCCTGAACCCACCCCAGGATCCCCAACATCAGGGCCACCGTGCCTCAGGGCTATGGCTGTTCTCCGAGACCCCGCAGTGTCCCTGCTGAGCAGACTCCACATGGCACCCACCTTTAGCTTCTTGTTTTCCTGTAGCTCATCCACCGCAGCCTCCCCATTGCCTGGCTGCAAACAGGGACAGGAATCACGAGATGTTTGGAGAGACCCTTACTCTCCCTCTCTACTTCCCTCTCTCTCCGGGGAACCATCAGGTGGGAACACAGAAACACACCCAAAGATAACCTGCTCTCGGGCGCCGGGGAGGGGCTCAGTCAGTTAAGCGGCTGCCTCCGGCTCAGGTCATGGTCCCAGGGTCCTGGGATCGAGCCCCTGCATCGGGCTCCCTGCTTGGCAGGAAGCCTGCTTCTCCCTCTCCCACTCCCCCTGCTTGTGTTCCCGCTCTCGCCGTCTCTGTCTCTGTCGAACAAATAAATAAAAGCTTTAAAAAAAAAAAAAAAAGATAACCTGCTCTCAGAAGATGTTTTACCATGTCCAAACCCCGGCCTGGCCTTTCACGCTCTGGCTTCCCTCTGCACACCATAGGCCCAGTCAAACGTGTCCACTGTCTACAGTCCAGGAACCCGTCTTGCAGTCCCTCAAAGGCACCATCCTCTTTATCCACTTCGAAACCTTCATCCTGGGGCCCCTCCTCTCATGCTTGGCACCCTCCTTCCCTCACCCCCCATATTTCAGGTCTCCCTTTACACGTCACCTTCCTCTGGGGAGCTAAGGTGTTGTCTCATTCTCTTTTATAGATTCCTGTTCTTTTCCTCCATAGCGCTTTCCTCAATTTATTTGTGTGTTAACAAACATTGCTGACATTGTTAACAAACATACCCATAAATTAACTGCCCCCTAGCATCTTGAAGGCAGATTGCCTACTTCATTTGCCACTGTGTGTCCAGCACAAAAACATTCTTGGGCATTTCACAAGATTCAATAAATATTTCTTGAATAAGGCATGAATGAACTGTCCTCTGACTGTCCCCAATCCATTCCAACTGCTGGACCCTTGTTCACGACTCTTCCCTCGGCTTAAAATGCCTTCTCCATTCCTCTATGTCTACCAGTCTTTCAGAAAATTCAGGGTGAATTCTTCTATAAAGCTTTCCTGAATGACCCCTTCTACTCCCACCCTCACTCCAGCTCCCTATGATACCTCTCTCCTCAAAAGCTGTGTAACAACAGTGAGCACATTTTTTTGTTACCAAAATCTGGCTCTATGATCGAGTAAGCACTCAGGTCCTGGGGAAAGCTGCAGGGCAGCCAGCTGGGAAATGAGACAGCCCTAGAAAAATCTAAGATGAAGAATCATTAAACCCACAGTACTTATTGTCTGGACCACTAGCCTTCAACCTTGCATTTACTGCTTTATAGCGCCATTTGAACTTTTAAAAGAATCATTTTTTAACTTTTGACCTATGTCAGTTGTCTACCCAGCTAGACGCGATTTTTTTTTGAACTTTCGATACAGTCATCTCTGTTCCCTTAACCTGCAGCACATTTCTTGTACATAGTAGGTGCTCACTAAAGGCGAGCTGAACGAGTAGCTATTCCTAAGTAGCTTCTAGTGCTATCTTCAGGCAACATGGTCACCAATACTTGCCCCCCAAAACTGTCTTCACCTCCCCACTCTGGCCTCTGTGGCCAGAACTAGAACTGGACGTTCTATACTCTGTCTCTGTTTCAACTCAGAAAATAAAGAAAAATAGTGCCTGAGCCAGGGCTCCTCACCCTCCCATCCACCCAATTTGTTCATTCATTCAGTTCTTATTTTCCCAAGCACCTGCCGTCTATAGGTCAGTGTGCTAGTGCTGTCTGGATACAAAGATGTTGCGGACACGGGTTCTATGTCCAGAAAGGAACTGGAACCAATGCTGACAAAACAGAACGTGGTTCAAGAAATGAGAAGCGTAGATGAGGGTGTAGTGGTGGGAGAGACAAGAAGGCTTCCTGAAGTAGGTAGAATTTGAGTAAGCTTTGAAGGATGGGGGAGGTTTGAATGCTGGACGCAGATTGCTGAATGAATTAAATAAACAGATGTATGAGCCAATGAATATGCAAATGAATGAAATAGAGCAGAAATAACCCATCTGCCTATGAAGGGAACACTGCTGTTTTCTGAACAAATCCCCTGACTCTTTCATGACACACGGGTAAGTTTACTGGTATACTGGAGGCTATGGCACCAATCCCTGCTGGCCCAGCCATCTCACGTTTATCATGTCCAACCTTCACCCATTGAGTTTCTGGAGGCAAAAAACTGTGAGGAGCCAGGCTGCCCTTTGGGGTAGCTAGTTCTGTCCACAGAGGGGCAGGAGAGATTGACTTTTGCCCCATGATGCACATGCCCAATGATTTTTCTGCTATCAGATGTACTCAAGCCAAAATATTTCTCTATGAGTTCATCATTCTTTGCACCCATCAATATCTTCTGAGTTCAGCATGTACTTCTAATTTTGTGAAGCCCTTCACATTCGGTTTCTCATCCAAGACTACTAACTCCACGAAGCAGACAAGGTTAGTATTATTACTGCTCTTTGATAGATGAGAAAACAGAGATGCAGAAAGAGTGTGCCACTTGCCCACACTCACAAAGACTGTCAGAACTCTGATCTCCTGACCCCCATGAGCTGTTGTTGTTGTTGTTGTTTACTAGCTCACATTTCTTTTCCCGAGCATAAATAAGGTAATGAGGTGAAATCTCTATTCCCTAGTGGTTCTGTTTCAAATTATTGACATTTTAGGTAAATGGACATGAATGTTCATCTCCATTTAGATGTGGATGATGGGTCTATTCTGGGTAGCAGTCCCAGCAAGTAAGTGCTTTCAAAATATGCCCTTAATACAAACACATTTCACATCCACCTCTGACCCCAATCCACTGCCCCTCCTCTTTCTTCAGCCTCATCACCCCACCTTCTTCTCCACGTGAAAATTAGCAAAGGGGCTGAGGAAACCAAAGAGGATGTCTTCCTGCCAGCCAAAGCCCCCAGCACCTGTGATGTATCTTGCTGAGGTTGAGCAGTGGGATCCCTTGTAGCCATTCACGGGAACCTGTGATGGCAAATATGGCAGTCCCTCAGGGGGCTCCTCCTCCTGACTTCCAGTTTCTATCTCCCATTGATGTAGCAGTTAATCACTGACCTCTCCCCTTCTAGACCATCCATGACACATTTCCTGAACCACATATTTTAGTGTGTGATTTTTTTTAACATTCATTTAACAAATATTTACTGAATCCCTGGTCTGAGTCCTGCCTTCACCCAGGTTATACTCTAGTAGGGGACTCTTCACACTAGCCCTTTCCTGAGTACAGTCTTGCACTCTGATCCACTCATTTGTCTAAGCTGGAAACCCAGAAGTCTACCTGAATTCCTCCCTCTCCTTCACAGCCCACATCCAATTAGCTGTCACACCTAGTTTCTTTCTTTTTTTTTTTTTTTTAGATTTTTATTTATTTATTTGACAGAGAGAGAGAGACAAATGACAGCAGGAACACAAGCAGGGGGAGTGGGAGAGGGAGGCAGAAGCAGGCTTCCCGCGCAGGGAGCCTGACGCGGGGCTCGATCCCAGGACCCCAGGATCGTGACCTGAGCCGAAGGCAGACGCCCAATGACTGAGCCACCCAGGCGCCCCAGACCTAGTTTCTAAAAGCCCTCAAATTTCACCTCATCTCTCCATTCTCCCGCCTACAGTCCTGCAAAACCCCCCTGACTCCTGATTATTCCTCTTCTAGTTCATTCTCCATCCCTCAGCCAGAGTGATTTTCTAAACTAAGCACAAATCATGTCCCTCCCCCACACCCTAGGGGCTTACTATCCTCACAAGGGAGTCCAGACTCCTTAGCTGAGCACCTATCAGCCTCCTCGTACCTCAGTCCAGCACTGTCCAAGAGAAATAGAATGCAAGTCACACACGTAATTTTAACTATTTCAGTAGCCACATTTTTTAATGTAAAAGAAACACGTGAAATTAGTTTGAATAATATACTTTAACCCAATATACTAAAAATATTATAATTCAACATATAATTAATATAAAAATATCAATGAGCTATTTTGCCCTTTTTTTTTTCATACTAAGCCTTTGAAACCCAGTGTATATTTTATACTTACAGCATATCTCAATTCAGATTATCCCCATTTCAAGAGCTGAGTAGCTCCATGTAGGTAGTGGTCACCATACTGGACAGTGCAGCTATGATCTCATGGTGTCTCATTCCCTTGGCCTCTCCACAAGCCCAGGAGAATTCTTACCCCTTCTTCAGTCGGCCACCCCCTGCTTGTCCTTCAAGATTCTGCTGAACATCGCCTCCCAGAGGAAGCCTTCCCTGACTCTCTGGTCTGCTGAGATGTCCACTCTCTGCAGTACTAAATCCCTTAGCGCTTTCCTACACCATTACACATCAATTTTATTTATCTGTCTTCCCCACTGAGGAGGATTTACCATGGAGCCGGTGAAGCTTAATTTCCAAGGCCCATGTCTCCCCTACATAAACACTTTCCAAGACCTTGTATTTGATTTTTGTACCAATAGTTTTATATTCTTTTTCTTAAAGAGTGTCAGGCCCCACAAAATCTGGATCAACTCCCACTCTGCTAGACTGAGCTCATCAAGGACTTGGGACTATGCCTTTTTTCTCATTGTAACCCCAGACCCTACACGGGCCTCATATAAAGGGATTCAATAAATGTTTGCTGAATGAATGAACATTGGAGTTCTTTAGGGCACAAACCTAGGGCCTCCCCCTCCCACCCCCACTCTCTCTCTCTCAACCGGTCATCAATTTTAATTATCACACATTGTCAGTGATTCACAAATTTCTATTTCTAGCCCAGACCTTGATTCTGAGCTTCAGGCCCATGTGGGCAATTGCCTCCTAAACATATCCACCTGGAGGTGACATAGGCACCCACACTCATCATTCCTGAGTGGAGAGTCTTGAGTTTTCCTAAACCTGTTCTTCCTTGGGTCTTTCCTTTTTCACTGGGTGGGACCACCATCTACCCTGCTGCTCAAGCCAAAAACCTGGCAGCATCCTTGACTTCTCTTGCTGTCTCACCCTCACATCCACTTCATCACCAGTCCAGATGATTCTGCCTTCAAAACGTCTCTCAAAGATA